CAAAAAAAAAATCCCATCTCAATTTGTATTTTATGCAAAAGATAGAATGTCAATGGTTAAAATTGATGGAGCCTAGAAAAAAATAGACTTCTCCTTTAGAGGACTTTTTCTTAAATATTTTTCAGTTAGCAAGTGTCGGCAAAAAAATATATAAATATTAAAGAACATTTTGACAAGTGAAATAATTTCTTTATATTATCTCTTGGATGATTTTAAGTTGTTTTACGTACTTTTTTTTATGCAATCTCTCTTCTCCAAAAACTTTAATTAAAAAAAATAAAAAAGTCTTCATAAGTAAGAAAAGTGACATGTATTAAACTATGGTTCTTTGGACCAGCCCTTTCTTGTTCCTATTTACCCCTAAATATCTCCATCTTGAAATTTACATTGAGGTTTTCTTCACAATTGTGTCCGTTATACTGGTTTCACATTTTTTCTAGGTTATATATGCAGGTGCTCGTCTCTTCTCTGGGACTGGGATATCGATTTGAATGGCAGGCTCGATTGGCAAAATTTGAATTTATGGTTTGTATCAGTTTGTACCTGAATAATGTTAAAATTAAAATTATAAGTAGTTAATTAAGTCTTTTAACTTATATATTATTATCAGTATACGATTCCCTCATATCGTAAATAATATATTACTGGAGTATGGTTGAGTATAAATTTGTTTTGAAGTGGCGGATGAAAATAATGGATGGTGCTTTAGTATTTGTTCGAACGGAAAAAGAGCTGAATTGGTTTCTTTATTTTATGTTAGGAAAATATTTTAAGATGATCAGACATTCAAAAGTAATCTCGTCCAAGGATTATTTGAAGAAATTTTTTGACACAATTTCAATTATGTGTGTATATATATAGCAACTACTTTCCTTTACGTCATCTCAAAGTTAAGATTAGCCTTTTCTTTTTTCCGTTTATAGACCGATGCCATGGAACATTCGATCCGTAAAAAGAGCAATCCGGTACATGAAGTATTGTGAGTTCATGCTAACGGATAGAATTATCAAATTATTAATAAGGATAGAAATGCTACCTTTAATGCGATTATAAGAATTATCCAATTTTATGAAGGATGTATAAATAAATATAGACTACCTCACTTCCCATAAGAAATAAACACATAAAGCTTGTGGTTATAGCACTCTTAACCATTGACCAAAAACTTGATTGGATGTCTATTCTTTCCACCACCAACATATAAACATATATACAGCTAATAACTAGTTATTCGAACTAAATAAACATGCTTTCCCAAAAAGCAATTAAACTAAACAAAACCATATCCAACCGCAGCCATAAAATAAAGCAAGAACGACAAACATAGATGGAATGTGACTCAAAAAGGATATTTTAGAGAGCTTCAGGGTAGCTTTATATACTCCTAACGCTGATTAATTAACAATTAAAGAACAAACCAAATAAATACAATATTGGTAAAACGTTTTAGTTATGCTAGAATAGTAGAATATAAGATACACGTTTATTCTTTTGTTGCTGGTGGGCAGAGACGGGCCAGTATTCGACAAGAGGAGGACCAATGATTTAAACTTTATGAGTTTAATTTTTAAGGTTTTTAGTATTGAACTTATTATATTTTTAAAGTTATGAGTTCATATTTACTATTTTTGTAATTTTAATAAATTTTTACATACAAATTTTTACTTTGCATCAAAAGTTATGGGCCCAGTTGAACCCGTCAATAGAACACCACATCCGCCCCTGATCTTGGGGCACCATGACATTAAATATAAACTTATCACTGTTCATAAAGATTGGTACGAGACTTATGCTAATATCTGATTATTTTTTAAAAATATTTACAAGCATATATAGAGTTTTTGTCGAAATTTTCCATATGATTATCTCTCAACCTATATCGTGCATCAGCATCTGGGTGGGGTGGGCACCAACTGGAAAGATAAGGTCTACAATAAGAAAAAAGCCATATCAAAATTGCAAAATTTATAGTGGCATTAGTTGGCACTATTGCATAGTGACGGGTGAGACACATGATTCAAAGATAAAGGGTCCACACGATTTTTTGCAATTCCGTTTTGCTTTTTCATTCTAACTAATATCAACTTTATGGGGAAAAAAATTTAAAAATAGTCAAAATTATAACTGTTAATTACAAAATAGTTAAACTTTTCAAAATAATCAAAATTTAACAACTTTTTCATGTAAAGATAAAATCTAAACAAAAACACCCTTAAAAATTCGAAAATATTCTAGCATAATATGCTGGACTCAAATTTTTAACATATGAGCTTCCAGCATAATGTGCTGAAATTTCATAATGTGCTGGAATTCCAACATAATATGAGTTTATATGCAGGAGCTCCATAATCCAACATATTATGCTGGAATTTTTTGTGTGTTGGAGTTTCAACATAATATGCTGGAAGTTTATACGCAGAAGGTCCATAATCCCGCATATTATGCTGGAACTTTCCGTGTTTCAGCAAAATAATGGTTATTTTTTAATGATTTTACAAGTGCTGACTATTTTTTAATTACTAATCCAAAAACTGGCTAGCTGTGCTATTTTCACCAACTTTATGGAATACTATCCTACAAGCTATTTGGTGGATAATTTGGGATTAAAGAAACTGCAAAACTTTTTAAGGTAAAAATAGAAATATATTTAGCCTTGAGTTTAGAGATCTCTTTCTCTGATAGCTTTTTGTTGCAATATGGTTTTTTTACTTGCGGATTTAGGAGGTGAAATTTATGAGTCTTACGAATGACCTCAAGTTAAATATACAATAATAATTAAATCCACATAATATTTATAATAATATTTAATATATTTTTTAATACATATATAATGTCTGAGCACAAATTATTGAGTTCCATGAACACATAGGTTTACACTGTAAATCCGCCATTGCTCCCTGCATGATGTAGATGGCATGGTACCTGCACAATTTGTAACTATGTTTCCTTGCACCAGCTTAATGGTATTTTATTATTTAATAAACTTGTTACCTATCAAAAATAAAAAACGAAAAAAGAAGAAAGAAGGATTCGTAAGACTCAAACTTTGTATTCTCGTATGTACATAATAACTTTGTAGGCATGTAAAATTTGTGGAATTAAATTCATAAATTGACTTGGACTATATTTTAAATTAAAGAAACATTAGTCCAAATAAATTTATTGGGATAATATAATTGGATTAGGGATTTTTCCGTTCCTATACACTATTTCAAACCTTATTACCAAAACTGTCTCAGTTTTGGAATTTATCTGACCTAAATATGTTTTAGCTAAAAAAAATATACATTTGTTTAAACTAGACTCCTTTATGCGATAGACTTCCTTATTTAGATGCGCAATTTTGGGATAGCTTATATTTCAGTTAGAAATTTTAGACGCAACCATCGCACCATAATCAAGGCAAACATATCTGTAGAATCCTTCTATTACGCAGATTGTCTTTAGTTATTATCGCACCATAATCAAGGCAAAATATCTGTAGAATCCTTCTATTACGCAGATTTCCTCTGATTTTCCATAAACAAGTCAACAAACTCAAAAAAAAAAAAAAAGCTTCTGAAGAAAACAATTGCAAATAATTAGCTACAATTGAATTGAATTTCGCGAGATACTGTCAAAATTAACGATTATGCTTAAGCTCAATGGTCGGTGTGATAGCATTGGGAGATACAAAGATTTTGATATTGACGAAATTGTAGTCAATAAAAATTTAAATTATAGTCAATTGAATTCCACAATTGCAGAACATCTAATGATTGATACCTCTGCAAAAATCATCGAAATCAAATATACTCTCAACGAACGTTGTCCTCCAATGAAAATTCAGAACGATATGGGAGTTCAAGTGTATATGGAGACTAAAAAGGAAAACAAAAACTTAGGAATGTATCCGTTGTGTATAACAGTACATGATTTTGATTTGGAATGTAGTATGTCGAATGCGAGCACAATTGCAGGTTGCTCTATTTTTCGAATGCTGATGTTTTTCAATTTCAAGTGTTCTACAATTTTACTACAAATTATCTACAACTATACTACGTAACAAATATAATTCAACTATTATGTCTCTAAATATAATTGAAGTATAACTGTTTTGAAAAAGTAAAAATGTGATCATAGAACAAAGTATCTACAAGTATTCTGTCAAATACTGAACACTTGAATGTACAGAGGTCTGAATTACTATACTTTTAATTTAGTGCAAGTATTTCTGATTATCATAATACTAACGTGGTACAATTGTCAAGTAATTGTAACACAATTGGAGAAGTATCAGGAACAATGAAATTGATTGATATGCCAACATTCCAGCAATTGTGGAATATGAAAGTATCATCATAATAGAACATACGTCAAATGTAATTGAAGTAGGTCAAGTTTACCAAGACAAGCAAATAATTGTCAGTGCATTGAAGCATCATTCTGTCATGAATAAGTTTCAATTTAGGGTAAAAACGTCTAGTGCAAGAAGGTAGAAATATTTTATTTGTCAAATTCATATTGTGTATAAGCTGTAGTTTTTATATATATAAATTGTATATAAATTATTTAAAATAATTTGTTGTGCATAAAAAGCCTCGTATTATGTACCTACAATTTGCATAATATTTTTTAATTATTTTTATTCTATAGTTACTGACTCGTATGTATTGGGGACAATTGTACGTGGCACTTCAAGTCCACCAGCATAAATGAATCAACATTGTTCAAGGTTCGAAAATTCAATAGCTTGCACACATGCTCTTTGATGGACAACACATATATACAATGCAAAGCTACTGCCATGGTAGTTGGCAGCATGGAAATATGCGGATCCTAAGAAAATATACACACCAAAAGACATATAAACTGACATGTTTCGGAATATGGTGTAAACTTAACATACATGCAAGCTTGGAGAGCAAAGGAAAAGGCTTTGAAATTTTTGAGTGGTCATCCTGCTGATTCCTACAGTCGCTTGCTGAGTTATTTGTATATTCTAGAGAAGACCTATCCGGGGTCGGTTGTGAAATTGCAAAAGACTAAAAATGACTGTTTATTGTATGAATTTGTTGCTCTTAATACGCCCATCAAGGGTTGGGAGCTTTGTAGGGCAGTTGTAATAGTCGATGGCACCTTCTTGAAGTCGGCATATAGAGAAATCATGCTAACAACTAGTACAATGGATGCATCAAGTAATGTAGATTAATTGTAAAAATATTGTAATAAAGTTATTTCTGAGACTGTATTTTTATATTTTCAAGTTTTATTACTGAAATTGAATTTCTTTTTGTTACCTATGTGATAGGTAACATATTACCACTAGCATACGCCGTTGTTGATTCAGAAAATGACGTATCATGGAGGTTGTTGTTTGAGCAATTCAAACATGCATATGGTGAAAAACTAAATATGTGTGTTATTTCGGACCGGAATGAGAGTATATTGAATGCAATATCTATTGTTTATACCGACATGCTACATAATGCTTGCATGTGGCATATTTGGATAAATGTAAGGTTAAAGTTCAAGAAAGGTCATCTAAAGTTAAGCGAATTGTACTTTGCCACGGCACGATCATACACGCTTGATGATTTAATGAAAGAATGTCAAAAATTGAAGAGATCGACACACGTGTTAAAGTATACTTATACGATATTGGCTATCACAGATGGTCTCGGGTACATGCTACGGTAAACAGAACATGGACGATGACATCAAAGATTGCAGAGTCCTTGAATGCAGTTACCAAAGATGCAAGAGAGCTGCCCGTAGTTGAACTATTAGAGTACATGAGGACTCTTCTTGAACGTTGGACTAATGAAAAGTTATTGAATGGAAAGGGAACGTTCACATACCTTGGGAAAAAATACAACAAAGAGTTAGAGGACAACAGGACATTATCGCAAAAAATGAGAGTAAGTTTTGGCCAATAACATCAGATCATTTATTTCATCAAACTAAATATATATTGATAATTGTAGATATGTTATTGTATAATTATAGTTATTATGTCTTTTATCTGTATCTGATAACTTGTTGTATGTTTGTAATAAAATTGTAGGTGAGGGCTTCAACAGATTACATAGATACTGTGATAGATGGTGTGAAGCGCTTCATTGTTTGCCTTCAAAACAAGAGATGTAGGTGTGGACAATTCCAGCTTGATGAACTTCCTTGTCCACATGCTTTGGCGGCTTTGAGGCATAGGAACGAGTCTTATAAAAACTATTGTTCTCTTTATTACACGAGGGAGAGCCTTCTGCAGACTTATGAAATACCAGTAGACCCATTTCCTGATGAAAGCAAATGGAATATGCCACAATATATAGCAGAATAAGTTGCAATACCACCTACTGGGAAAAGGCAACCAGAGAGACCCCAAAAATAAAGATACAAACTATATGATGAAATAAATGCAAAGAAGTACAAGGTTTCATGTGGCAACTGCGGACAAGAAGAAGAATAACAAAAGATCTTGTAGGAATGCCCCCAAAAGAAAATAAGAATTGATATAGTATAAATATTTTTTTTACTGAGTACTATTGATAATAATATGTCCTTTAAGACATATTCAGTTGTTTTTGTTCTGTTCTGAAGAATTATAGTTGTGGTGTAATTGTGTTGCTAATTTGAATGAAGATTGTCTCCTATAATGAATGTTTGGTAAATAGATTTCAACTCTTAATGCAATTGGTTAGTAGTTGTTTTGTTTAAAAACTAGGTTTATTTATTAGTTTTAAGCTTTTCCTAACAACATTGCTAAAATTGAATAGATTCTGTATTTTTGTATAGTAGTTATAGACATAATTATAGTTATGCTGTAAAGAAATTATATAGTACCAATATCAAGATCAAGCACTAACAACTTTCAACAAAAAAACATGCCATAAATATTTTCTATTGTAAGTAGTAGAATTCTGGACAAAATAACAAAATAAAAGGTAAAATAATTGTAGTACAAATCTGCTACAAATAAATTGTAGATGAATTATTCTTAATAAATAATTTTCCTACAACTTTAATATAATCCAGCTACAGCTAATCATTTTCACTACAATTTTTCTACTGAAAAGGGCAACTATTTTCTTTTGTTCCGGACTCGTGTTCTCTCCCTCACAGCCGATGCACCTTTTCTCCTTGCTAATCTACCGGTCACTTCACTTTCACTAATTGTACCAAGCTCTTGCTTTTTACTAGCATAATCCCAAAGGAGTGCTCCATAACGTCTACGGTGTTGATCAATATCAGAAAGGTCTTCCTTTGAATCCAGAGCTGTCCAATGCTAACATACTGCAAATGCCGCCACGTATACACCACAGTCACTACAATAAATAGTAGTGAAAAATATTTAGCATTCGATCTAAAATACAATTGGTTAAATTGAAGGAAAAGCAACACATACAGTGTTCCTCCTTTTTGCTGGGATATCTCACCGACCAACCACTGAATGTCGAGAGGGTCAGTAACACCTTTTTCAATGTATGTCTTTGTGTTCTTGTAGTTGATGTCTGGACGCTTGCCATAGAAGCAGGTGCGTGACAAGTAGAGGGGATCATAATAGCAAACTTGTCGACAGCAGATTCAACAAGTTTGTGATTACGTGAAGAGACCATACAATCATAAACATATAAAACCCTATCGGTAATATCAAACACAGCCAACAACCAATAAAATTTCTCAACAATATTTATGGGATTAATCAAAAAATCAACTTTGTCCCATACAATATATGCAAGTAATCGGTACCCCAATATGTATTCTGATACGGCGTCCTAGGGTTTGACAACACCAAGCTTCCTATTGGCAGGGGCATTACTGTACCTCTCATAAATTTATTCTATTATAGTCTTGAACATACAGTCAGTGATTGTAAACCGTGTTCTATTTTCAGGACCATACTTTTCTCTCTTCCTCAAATGGTATAAAATAACATCAATGTGCTGCAAAAAATAATATTTGATTAGTTCTCACTGCTGCATACAATTTAACTAAAATTTTCAAACAAAACATCTATAGATATCTAAATAATAGATTACTTCAGCTAATCATTAAATTCTGCCAGTGTATGAGTGTACCGTGTTATTGAAGATTTGCTCGGGATGTACCAAAGTATAAAACCAGTCCCTTTTATCAGCTTTCTCCACTCCAAGATTAAACCATGGGTTGGGATGGTTATATTTTATAGTATAAGGCGCCTTCTTCCTATTTAAAGACATAGAAAGTACAATGAAAATGTAGTTGCAATTGAAAATTCATAAATTCTATGTACTCTATAATACGAATAAGTGTGTAATCTAACCTCTTTGAAACCATGTCGGTACCTAAATATAACCATTTATTGAATTCTTCCAACAAATCAGGATTAACATCGTCGCCAATAACCACAGTAAATGGATGCTTGATGTTGAAAATTGGAGGAGATCCAGCAGAAGTGCTTTCACCAGAACTGAAATAAGGGAGAAAGGGGGATCTGGCATGCTTTCCAGGAACCCTTGTTCTTCCTTGATGGACAGGGGTTGTTTCATCTTCATTAACCTCATCAAACTTAACTATCTGTTGAGAAGTTCTCGGGCAGCTCAAAATCATCAAGTGTTATTGCCCCTTTTCCAGACCTGGAGTCATTGTCCGAGTCAGCTACATTGATGAAGTCGATGGTTCACCTACAAAGTTAAAAAAAAAAGAATAACATTGTATGTTTTTTGAATTAGAAATGTTGGAAAACTGTAAATGATATGAAAATTGTTGTTTTTTTCTACAATTATATTGTAATATATAATATCACTGAAATCTTCATTGCAATCCTCTCCTTGTTGTCTACCATTTACTTCTTATATTGGAGATCGTAAATGCATAGTCTTATTCTCCTCATTGTTATGCTCTCCTTGTATGCCAACATTTGCATCCTATTTTGGAGAGTGCACATGCATAGTTTCCTTCTCCGTGATAACAAATGTGTACAACTTAAGAGAATTGTAGATCATTTGGGGTAAACTCAAATAAACATTGTAGATAAATTATAGTTGAATTGTAGTTAATTTGTTAAAATATTGTCATGTAGATGAGATGTAATATGTATTGTGAAATATGTAGATACAATACACTAAATCATACCTTCAGTTTCTTCCTCCAATGCCTCTTGAAATTGGGAGGATAAATCAACACCTATCAGGCATGATATAGGAACATTCTCCTCTTTTTGAATGCCAGACATGTGTCCTGTATCTAAGACAACAATTGAAAATATAATGTAGATTATTTGTTGATAATTTAGGCTCTATGGAGATATAGTGTAAATATAATGTAGATTATTTGTCATCAAATTGTGTTAAAACTGTTAAAATATATATTTTACTATTGCTGCCCAACACTTGTTTAGCACTACTGCCACAATACTGTTGTTTGTTTTTTTCTTTGTAATGCTCATCATTTTTCGTAAAACAGCCAGTAAACTGCAAGCAGAATTTCTTAGGCTATATACTTTATGAATGCTAATAAACATAAACATGGTAAAAAAATATTTTTCAAAATAAATATATTTTGAATGAAACCTTAGCATCAATGTTAGTATACTGTTGACCTTTTATTGCCTGTAACACAGACTTGATGGAATCATTGAGTAGCACTCGAATGCTACCTAGTTCTTCAAAAACCTAAAGAACAAAAAATGCTTATAATATATCTGACAATAAGAGACTTACAAATATACAAAGAAGACTAAAAATTAGGTATACATCTTTCTTGAACAATCCAAGGTCTGAACCGACCTAAGTATAAAAATATAAAGAGTTAATAAAATAATTTGCATAACAAAAATTACAGAAACCAGCTAGGAATCTCATCAGTTGTTACCTTATCAACATCTTTTCTTAATTTTTTTAGTTGTTTCAGAATATCTTTCTTGTCATCTATTCCCATTGCCTGCTTATTGCCAGATGAAGATAGTGCATCTGTCGGATGCTCGGCCTGTGTTTTAGCTTCTTCAAGGATGTATTCAACTTTGTCTAGCAAAGTCATTTTAGAAATCTCTTCTGGGGCTTCAATCATGTTGATGAACTGAGTGAAATAAAAATGTGAGGGACCTAGCCAAATTATGTATACAATTTGTATTTATATTATCTGTACCATAAAATTGTAGTCCAGTTCTATTAAGTATGTCAATATTTTAAGATACCTTACACAAAAGTGAAAAATATTTACCTTGATCCATGATGGTTTGATCATCCTCTCTTCCAATACAGAAATCCATATCTTGTCCTTACTAGTTGTCCAGTTAAGTATGCGAGGGATCGAATTACCAACCCTTGTAGCTATATTAGTATTGACTGTAGAGCAACACACATATAACCAGATTTGCATAGCGAGTGAAAAACCTCGAATGAGATAAAAATGTACAGACGGGTTCAGCTTATTCCTAACAGACTGAAGCAATTGTGTATAAGTTTCGATACCCTATGCAAAATTCGCATACTGCCCCGAGTCCATCAATTAGAACCTAAAGTGGTCTATCAAATCATTATCTTTCTTTGAAGGGCAGAGAAAGAATTCTATCAGATAGAGAATACACAACGTGACTGCATCCTCATCATTCACCCAACTACGGTTGGTTACAATTTGTTTCAAGATTACGACTTCTCAACTTTTTTCTTGTTCAAAAAATAGCTCCTCATTATTTTACTGTCATACTTAGTTGTGTAACCAAAGTCCGTTACTTCTATAAAATATCTAAGGCCAGTGATAAGGCCAAACTCCCTTAACCCAAAGTTCAGCCTCTCACCCTTTATCTCTGCTGTAAAAAAAATGAGAACCTGATGCGTTCAATTCATACTTCATGAGAAGGTAAATTGCCTGATTTTGGATACATATTTTGGGCATGCAAAGAAAGTGCCCAAAATATGTCTTCTTAAATAAGTTTAACCCATTTTCAGACAATAACACCTTGATTTGGGCAGGAACAGCAGGGTCAGATAATGTTTGAAACCTAGTGATGCCATAATCAACATCATTTGGTACAAAAAATATCCGATTCTGTACCAAAAGAAAAAAAAAGTTCATAAAATATATTTAAAGACCAAAAAAAATAATAACAATTCTGCTATACTTTAGCTACAGCCAGAAAGACAGTAATACATTGCATACATATAAATTACAAAATCAGTAAACAAATACAACAACTGAACTACATTGAAACTACAAATGCACAGACAAATTTATATTTAGAGCAATAAACTAGAAAGTAATATACATTTAAAGAATTGGGGGAAAAACAAATAACTGGACATAATATATACAATTTTTTTTTTACAGAAAATAAAATTAACATCTACAAATAGAGCGAAA